AAAAAAAAAAAAAAGGAGAAAAGAATAACAACTTTTATTACAGTAAAACTTTTTGTGTGAACAAAAGTTACTGTTCGTTACTCTTTTCTATAATTTACAGCCAGTTTCACAAGCTGGAGCCGACCCAACGGCAGGCTGGGGACCAAAATCTATGGTTAAGGCTGGCAAAAATTTTCCAACAGCTAACGCTCGAGCTAACAGAAATAATGTCGATTCAGAAGCCACAGCGCATCGTCATGGTCTTCCTGGCAAGCATAAGTATAGGGAATGGGGTGAACGACATGGAGGTAGATATTTGCTCTGTCAGCAATTGCTGTCAGTACAGTGCAATCGTCAATGCTTTTAGTACTTACTGTTCAATAGTTTATATTTTAGAGTTAAAGCCTGAAAAGACCACATCACATAAGGATGCATTAACAAAATTTTTGTCTAACGATGAGCCATCACGACGGACAGTTTTTGAGTGCGATTTTGAAGATCGAATTTTACAAACAGAACCTGAAACGTTACCGGAGCGTATCGCAAGGACAGAAGAAGTTGAAGGATCATTACCATATGTGCCTACAGTTCAATCGGTAACAATTGCAGTAAACTTGAATGTGCTAATTTTTTTCCCAATTTTAAAATAACATTTATTTTAATGAAATTTCTTTAACTTCTCTAAATAAGTTTTAAAATTAGTCTTCTTTTTACTTCTAGGAAACTAGCTCAGGTCCTGAAGTTTTAACGATTCTAACTTATGCTCCACAAGTTCAGTTCGTCACTGCAACAGTTAAAAAGGCTAAACGATTACCTTTTAATAACAGTAAGCTTAGTCGTCAATTACAAAGCATTTAAAAATATCAGTAACTAAACTATTGATATTAGTTACCAATAATCAACAAATAGAATAAAAAAATAAACCTAAGTTTTTATGGTACAAATATTTTTTAGAACCTTTTGCCCGTATAATGTTGTTCGAAGGTCGTCGATTGTTAGAACAAAAGCAGACAACAGTAACACCGATAACTTCTTGTAATGGATGTATTAAAATGCGGTAAGATAATTCTTTAGTAAAATGCTATCAGAACAAAAAAAAAACCGATATTTTTTTATAACTACAAATCTGCCGTTTGTTTCGCTTATTTATCATTGAAAAAACTTACCAAAAATTTTTGCATGAAAAAGTTCCTTTGAATCAAAGGAAGCGAAGAAACGAAAAAAAATATCTACTGCTCTTATTCTTTTTACATCTTTTTTTTTACAGTACCACAAAAGCTGCTGTTAAAAAGAGTAAAATAAGAAAAGTAGAACCGAAAATAACAAAAAAAAAAAAAAGTAAAAAATATATGTATGTAGAAAAAAGTGATTTGTGATATAGATTTTCAAAAAAAAAAAAAAATTTTTTTTTTCTATTATAAGTTGCTGGGTGGATGATTAATGCGGTTTGAACTTATGGAAGAAGAAAAACCAAAGAAATACACTGGAAAAAAACTGGCTCAAATTAGCTTAAAATTCAATTTGATGTATTCTTTAGGCTTTTGCTACCATCAGTTTTTTCCGTCTTCTCCCCCCCCCCCCCCCCCCCCCCCCCCCCCCCC